GACTTCTCCTCCGTGATAAGACAGAAGTGGTTTCACAAATGGCATTTAATAAAAACTCGTGAACTTCACTTCTGGTCTAGTTCAGTTGGCATTGGGTCTTTAATATTATGCTATAGAAAAAAAAAATCACAAGATTATGCCAAGCCCAATTAGCATTTATTCTGCGCTCTTCACTCTATAAACAGGCATCTCACGTTTTGTTATATTCAACTTCTGAAATGCTATTAGCAGAAACCATTAAGACACTAGAGAATCAAAACAAGTAATGATTTTTTAAAAACACTTTGCAATGAACAGATCCTGCATATTTATTCAGAGCTACAGAAACAAAGCCTCCTGGTCACGTGATATCCTTCCAAGAGGAACTGTTTGACAAATCTGAAGCCATTCTGACCCTAAGTCATCCCCATGTTTCCATGCTGTACACCATCATATTGGTGCATGTGGTCACATATGAGTCACGGCATCGAGCCAGGGGTGAATGGGTGTGCATGCGTGTGCACATGCCTTGCCTATATGGTGGTGATGCCCCAGTAGGTGAAACAGAACCAACTGCTGGTTCACCTAGAGAAGCAGAAACCAAGACAGAGGAGACCTATATCCTAAAACTACCAGACTTCTGCCTCAGGGAGGAAACCTTTTGGAAACTACCTCTAAAGCCTTTAGTTTTACCATCCTGTGAAACAGACTAAGCTCACATGGGACTTCATTTACTGTCTGAGCAGCCTGAGGTCTGGAGTTGCTCCAGAACTAGAGGTCAACCCAAGCAACATTTAGTTGGAATCCATTTACTTCTCATCCCCACAGGAGTTCTGGAGCTGTTTCCAGCTTCTGTGGATTCAGCCAATAGAAATTATAATCTTGAAAAGAGTTTTGCCATGTTCAAACTTAGGGCATTCTGCTTTCTAAACAATTAGAGACAACTGGAGAGCAGCCACTTTAAAAAACTATTCACTGCTTTAGGATATGTTTTCCATGTGTGGGGTGTGTGTGTGTGTGTGTGTGTGTGTGTGTGTGTGTGGGGGTGACTTTTAGGCTCTACTGACTCTTCATAACTTTGTAATTTTTACTTTCCTGAAGGTGCCTGGTTACAATAATGGGTAAAGTATAAGGCAAAGGTTGTTTTCTGGTCTCTTTCTAGCACTTGACAAATATCCCTTCAGGTTCCCTCCCCCTTGAAGTCCAGACTGACTGTGGCCCCAGAATTGCCAATCATTTCCTCTGTCCACTTCTTTTTGGTAGAGCACTCGAAGGCAATCCAATTACCAATCCCTGCCTTCATGCCACCATGGTCGATGGGCTGCCAGACCTGAGATGAGTCATTAGATTTTCTGTCCTGAGGAGCTGGAATTGGTGACTCTGAGATGTTGGCCAGCTGTATGGGTCTGTCTTCTGTTCCTCAAATAGCTTCAAGCATATCAGCCTTTTGAGTGAGGTCTTTCTTTAATATCCAAAGAAAAAAATGTCATGGGTGCTTTGGTGGAGATAAATGCGATATGTTCAGCCACATTTCAATGCTTTTTCCTCCTGCTGGGCACACAAGAAGATCACACTTCCCAGGCCCCCTTGCAGTTAAGGTGGGTCCTGGCTTAGAAGCCATTGAGCCTCCTGGTCTTCTCTTTGTGCTGTGCAGTGATGTTGGAGTCCACACGTTCAGAGATGTGTCCATCAGATGGAGAGACTACATGGCCACTTGGACTAAAATGTTGACTGTACAAAGTCTTTGGGACTTCAGGGTTGACATGTTCTTGTATCATGGTCTTTCCAGACCTTTCAAACATGTTAAAATGTCAAAGGACAATCATGAGGGCTTCTAGTCTCCTAGTCCTCTCCTGTGCCTGCTGGATTCCTGATGCCTTTTGGGCCATTGTCCTGGTTTTGTATTTCCTTTTCTCCTCCCTGAAGATACTCTTCTACCAAAAAGCTAGCATATGTTCTGGTCTGTTTACTGGAGACATGGAGATGATGGAGCAAGATAACGTCATGGTGCAAAACAGGAGACAGCTGGATGTAAGACTTTATACCTGATCACCTATGATCATCCCGTGGGGGTACAGGTTACTGATTCTGATACTGCACACATGGACATTGGTAAAAATGGACTGGAAGTCTAGGTATGGTCAAAGCCCAATTTATTTTACTCATAAATACAATATATGTACCCACATCACCCCAGTCTCTTTTGGGTGAGTTTCACACAGGTTTGCTATTTATTGGGTTTATACAGAGGTTAAGTACAACAAGGCTGGCCAATTATTTCTTAAATTTTATTCCTACTGGAGTTTACAACAGTTCAAGGACGCTCATTACAAATGGGCAGATTATACCCGACATAGAAGGCAAGGAAGCCCAATTATGAAAGACTTTTTAAAATGTACTTCATTTGGCTATATCGTTGATGGTCTATGATGCAGGATTTTTGCTCTCTCCCTGGAATACATTACCGTGTCTGTTTATCAGCATCTACAAAATTTTATTGTTTAAAGAAAAATATGGTTGGTGGGCTGGAATGAAAAATATATCTTTAAAAAGACTGTGTGTAAATAAAGTGCCTGCTAAATTAGTGAAAGGAAGAAGTCTGGAAATCAGGGGTTTTTACACTGTATAAAAATAAATACTGTGAGTTTACATATATGATTGATAATAAATGATTTTGTGGTAAACAGAATTCATCTTATTAATTCAAACTATTGCAAAGGCTTAAAAAACTTTTTTAAAGGAATCTACATCCTTTTTGTAAATTCAAACAATCAGTGATTGATTTTTTTCATGTCTTTTTTTCCTGTATTGTATGCCTCCTAGATATTTTGTTGCTCTAACCAACCAAGATTAGGTAGCAAAAGAGAGAGGAGACAGAACTCAAGTGGCTTATTCTAATTATATATTTGCATCTGTGGGAAAAGGCCAGATCTGGGAAGGGCAGTATTAACTACATGGTCTAAGAAATAAGGCATTTTTCTTTATTCTGAAGTTCTCATTTACCTGTGTTTCCTTGGTCTTAGGAACAAGAATAACTGTTCCTAAGGTGACCATACTATCAAGATTTATTAAATGGCAGTTGCCCTGTCTGAAATCTGAAAGATGCTGCAATAAGCTTCGCCACTATAGAAAACCCCATTTTCCTAGCTGACTTCCTCTTGGTGAACCCCTGGGTACTCTTGGTACATATGGAGGATCACAGAAAGAGTACTTGACTGGAGACCTGGACTTTGGGTACTTTGCAGTGTGCAGCCTTACAAATGTAACTTCTCTGAGTTTCTGTTCCTTTGCTATAAAATAGAGACAGGAATAGCTACCTGGCATACTTCATGGGTCCTGTGTGAGTCCCAAATTATAGAGTGCATCTGAATGTGCCTTGGAATGAATAATACAGGACAATTGTCGGCAAATGTTTTACAGGTGTGTTTTCCTGTACCTTTTTTATGTTAAAAAATCAAAATAGAAATCACCAGGAAACACAAATGCTTATGAATCATAGAGCCCAAAAGTAAATAAGTAACACACAAAATGCTTTACAATAAAATCAAAGAATTATTTATGGAATTTTTAAAATAAAAAATCTTTGCAGCTAAATATTCATCAACTTAATCATTCTTTCTTTTATAAGAATGTTCACTATTCAACATTATAACTCTCCAAAGGAGAAATTCTATAATTAGCTCAGCTCTTTGCCTTACAACCTTCATCATAAGGCAGGAGAATGGAATAAAGTTTTAAAATAAGCAAAAATATAGAACTCTAGGTCATAGACTCCTTATTTTAAAGAGCTTAATAAGGAACGCTTCCCCAATGTATTTATAAACAATCTACTATTCGTATAGTTAACACTAACTCACAGTTTAAACCATGATAATCAGAGTTACAGGGTGCATTTCTTTCTCCCCTGATTAAATTATTAAATATCTGATGGTTTAAGGGATTCACTGCATTTTTAAATGAATGGTATGATATAAAAATGCTCACCTGTTAAACAACTAAGGTGTCAGTCAAGTGTTTAAAATGGACATCTGAGTTTCAAAAAAAAATCTGAGGAACAGAGTACTGTATGTGATAGGATCCCAAGCAGAGACCAGTCTGTGATTGACCTGCAGTCATAGAGAGTAACTGAAGCAACCCACCAACTCCCCCTTTTAATACAGTGAGCCTAAAAGTTTCAACAGACTCCTTTTAGAAGATCAAATGAATCACCTCTCATTCCAAACCTTATAATATCTTGGCTAAATTAAATGATGCAGTTATCTAAATAAGAACTATTAATTATAATGTGGTAGCAAATCCTAAATTCTGGGTAGGCAAAATTTCTGGACCAATGACAAAAGTATTATCAATGAAATGTGTTCAAGAATAATTATATAATGCGGATGTTTCTATAGCGCTAAAAGCTTTGCTATCATCAATCCAAGAATCAGTTCTCTGTCACACACACACACACACACACACACACACCTTCACATCATCTTGTCTCTACATATGCAGCTCATGTTATATTCTGTTTTTGATCCTAAGTTTTTTGAAAAAGATCAACATTTAGTCAAAAAAGCAATGATCAAAAAAGACCCTTTGCTATCCTGAAAGATCTCTCAAGATTATTTTGTGTTGAAAGGGTAGCCTGCCAAGAGCTTGCAGCATTGAAGTTCAATCAGCATTGGCACAGGAAATTCATAGAAACAAGTAAAGATTGAGTTACCTTAGGCTCTGCTGAACATACTTGGATGTGAAGCAAGTAACTGGGACATTTACCCTCAGTTAGCAGAGAGGTGGGCACAGGTAAACATTACAAGCTTGGGTGGGCTTCTTTCTTTCCTGGTTTACTTTACAGTGCAACACGTGTGAGACAAGACGTGCAGACCAGAACTCGCCCCCTCTACCCTGCATTATAAGTTAAACAATAATAAAATACATTTCTGCTATGTCTGTGGTTTTTAAATTATATCTTATAAATTATTCATCCTATATTCTTTCTTATTTAATTTCAGAATTTGAGCTCATATCTGTGTCCAATGTCAAATTATTATTTATTCTATGAAAAGCAGCACAAATACTGTTCATTATGGTTATAACTCAAATTCCTTAAAAAAATGTTAAGGCCGTTTAATTGAATCAGGGCCAACTGAAGATTACCCTGCTGGCTGAAGATTTTTGAAAAAGAGCTATAAGGGGGTGTCTTGTGTTTTCCTCCTTGGTAACTTGAGAGCAGTTTGTGGGATTTATTAGTCTCCAACATCTCCATCTCGATCTCCAATAAGCCAAAGGAAATGAAAACTTAAGGCTAACAAGGCTGTCCCAAGCAGATCGCCCAAGGCCGTGAGATAGGGGATGGAGAAACTATCCGGGTCCTTTCCTTTCCTCCAGAAGTGATGGACCATCCAGTCGGCGATCCACAGCAAGGTGAACACCTGCAAGAGAACACCAGACGTGACTGCTGCGGCCTGGACAGTACTGGCCAGTGGTGGCCAACTTGGCCCTGCACCTGGATCACTGCTTTCTGGAAGGAAGAAACTACAACCAAGTCAAGAACCAGGCTTGAGAAGAAGGATCATTTCATGGTCAGGATAATTTTCCTTACACAGGGGAAACAAACAAACAAACATGTATCTCTGCAATGAATAAAATTTCCCTTCAACTTGTCACATCTAATTTTTCATGTTTTCTAGCCTCCATAACTGCAATAATCCTTATATTTAATATCACTGTACAGCTGCCAAACTGCCGTTATGTCTCAACTTCCTTTCATATGCTAAGCCTGTTAAGGAGGAAGAAGACACAAGAAGTTAAAACAAGCAATTAAGGAACAGTCACCTGTGGTAGGTACAGCTGATAAAATAAAGATGGGAAACAGCATACACTTAAAACTCTAAGGCCCTGGAAGGCCGGTCAAAGAACCTCTCAGTGCAATGTAAGAATAACCACCAAAAGGTAAGTACATTGAGGTCTCAAGTACATTGAGAAAAAGGTGTGCTGAGTCCTGCTTAGGAAACAAATGTTACTTACGTAGAAAGAAACAGCTATGAAATTACATGGTCTGTTTGTTTCTGTATAAACGTATTTCTTACTGAGGGTTGCAGAAGAGGAAATGCGAATGGCCAACAGGCATATGAAAAAATGTTCAACATCACTTGCAATCAGGGAAATGCAAATCAAAACTACCATGAGATACCATCTTACACCAGTGAGAATGGCACATATTAAAAAAACTAGCAACAACAAATGTTGGCGAGGGTGTGGAGAAAAAGGAACTCTCCTGCACTGCTGGTGGGAGTGCAAACTGGTCCAACCACTATGGAGAGCTGTGTGGAGATTTCTGGACCTACTAAACATAGAGCTTCCATATGATCCAGCAATTCCACTCCTAGGTATTTACCCAAAGGACACAGAAACATCCATTCCAAAGAGCACCTGCACCCCTATGTTTATAGCAGCACTGTTTACAATAGCTAAGCTTTGGAAACAGCCCAAATGCCCAAAAATAGATGACTGGATCAAGAAGATGTGGTACATATACACCATGGAATATTACTCAACATTCAAAAAAGATAAACACATGCCATTTGCAGCAACATGGATGGCGCTGGAAGGGATCATGCTCAGCGAAATAAGCCAGAAAGAAAAAGAAAAATACCGGATGGTCTCACTCATAGCAGGAATCTAGAAAACTTAAATAAGGGACCAGGAAAATGAATAACTATAAGAAAGTGAAAATCAAAATCAACAAACAACTATGAACCAGAGACACTTTTTGGGGGTTGGGGGCGGGAGGGGAGGGATTGGGGTCAGAATGGGGGGGTTGCAATTGTATGGGGAATATAAAAATAAAATTTATTATTTAAAAAAAAAAAAAAAACACTTGACAGCTGCGGATCTAACATGCCCATCTTACGTGCTAGGCTCTAATATGTAAATCCCTGCAAAGAAAAAATCACATATTCTTTCGATTTAATCCCTTGGTTTCTAACAAAAATACACGTGATAAGCTTGAAACAAGAGTTTGTTGTTAAGTGGCTCGACCACTAAATAACTCTGTCAACTAGTGAAAAAACCTCTGAATCTTAGCCTCCTTGCGTCCCAAAGGAGGTTACCATTACCCTCCTACCTCAGAGGTTCATTGCAGAAATTAAGTGAGGGTTAAGCAAATGTTCGGCATATAGTAAGTGCTCAATCATACATCTATTAAGTGCTGTATGTACTCTATGTACATACATATAGTAAGGACTCGTGCCATCATCATTGTACATCAATTATTATGTTGTCTCAGAATTTATGACCTTTATTTGGAAGGTTATTGGCATGGAGATGTGCTTTTCAATTCCTTGAGCTTTAGTTTGGCTTCTTTAAAGTGGATTTATGTCTTCATGGTCTATTCTAGCTGTAAAGTACAAAGGTAAGCTACGAGATGGATTAATGGAGGTAGTTCACTCTATTAGCTCTTTTTATATTTTCCTGGGAATTTCCTATAATAAAAACTTAAAAATTAGACACAAAAAGAAATCTGTCATCGTCTGCACAGCAGTTGTTCTTCCCTTCGCATGTCTACTCCCTCTCCTTCCCCCAATTTTTTCCAGTAATTGGATTTATTTCAAAACCCTTCCCATGCAATTTATTTTTAAAGGTTTTGTGATGACTTAAAGTTCAAGCAGGTTTAAATGTACTAATTTTTTTTTTTTGCAAGTTAACAAAGTATCAGTGTTTCCTTGGGATGCTGTGTAGAATGATTAAAACCACAATAACTATCAGATACTTCTTAATGCAACATGTTTTATTTTAAAACTAAATGGTTAAGGAAAGGGTGCTTTCCACTGGGAAAACACATCGAAAATCAAACCAAGGGGAGCCTGTTTTTACATTGTCTGTTTGTTTTTTATGAAATATGCATAACTTCTTTAGGTAAATATACCTTCTGAAAAGGCAACTTTGTAGCCCCAGTTAATTATGCATGTTAGAGATGTATTACTTGGAATTTAAATAAATATATGAAGTACAAGAATATGTATTTGCTTTGGATGATATTGATTCTCTCCACCAGCTTCTTCTGTGAGCTAGAGTCAACATTCCCAAGCGCTAGCATCCCCTCTGCGACCCAATGGCTAGGAACAGCTGGGTGTATTATATGAAGGAAGAAAGATATTTCTTTAGAAGAGGAATGCTTAGAAATAGGATATAAATAAACACCAAAAGTAGCAAATTAGTACAGTGCCCCTAAGTTACAAAGGCTGAATTCATTTTCCCCATAAAAATATGTGGTCCTAATCCAGTTTCCAGACTAGAAACCCTACTCATTTAAAATCTAATATTTAAATGTCTGCTAAGAGGAATTTAGAATGATCAATCAACAAAGATTTAATGTACTCCTGATATCCAGATAAAACATCTTTTCTTTGCTGTGAACTATCATTGTGACCTCAAAGTGGGGGAAGGTGGGAAATGAATAAACCTTATTTTGAGAATAAAACTCACTTCAAGGAGTCCATGGCACAAAAATGGTTGACTTTCTGCCCAAAAGAGCTCCAAGAATGTGTGCTAGGGGACACATGCGGCAATATGCAAAACCTTGATTTTTAATGACAAAAATAGACCCCAACTGCAAACAACGTAAAAGTCCATTGAAAGAAGAATGGATGGATGAATTATGAAATATTCACACATGAAATATATGGTGATAAAACAGATGAACAACAGACATGTGAATGAATCTCAAATACTGAGCAAACAAAGCCACTTGAACACAAACTCAGTATGATTTCCTTTTTATACATTTCAAAAACATGCAAAACTTAAAAATACATTACTTAGCAATCCAAACATATGTAGCAAAATCTTAAGGAAAAGAAAAGACTTGTTGGTCATACAATTCACAGTCAATTCTTAAATAGGGGGGAGAGGGGCGGACACACGTGTTAAGTTACTAGCAGTGGTATATAATATTCTAAAGCTGACTGATGAGTGTCCTGGTGTTCTGTATTATTCTTTATACCTTGTGCAAGTCATTGCTACTTGTTCAATATTTAATATACAATGAAAATTTTAAAAAATTGGGGGGTGGTTGGGTGTTCATTAATCATTAAGAAAAAGTCAACCCAAATGGTATGATTATTAGTTCCTAGGAAGGAAAAAAAAGAAGGAAATAAAACATACATGAACTGTGATAGGAAGTTAACAGATAGTGATTTTTACCATAGGCTAAGTAAAATTACTTTAGAGAGATTAAAATCCATAGGATGTAAGGGAAAGATGCAATCTGTGGAGACCAAGCCTGAACCACAGAGACCTACAGAGACCAGGCATGTCAGAGGAACTGAGTAAACCTGCAGAAGCAGCCAGCTTTTGCAAGCTATTACCCCCCAACTCTCAGGACAAGAGGACTATTCAAAGAAGATAGCTTCCACCTAGGACTATCAACATAATAGTTATAATTACAAATGAAAGACTAGTTTTAGATGTTTTTTTGGCCAACCAGAATCACTGCTAACACTTCATGTTATGCCTGAATTAACATTATAGGTGAAATGAAACAATCTATAGCTAAACTAAAAGCAAAGCCAGCTCTGGTAACTCACTGGAACTTGTTTCCTTGGTTAGACCTGAAAATTTCAGGTAATGGTAGTCAAATATACTGCAGTCCCTTCTTAGAATACTTCAGATTATTTTTGTTGTCCAATGGTCATTTGTATGTTTCTTGTTCAATATCTTAAATGCTCTGATACAGTCATTGCCCTGGCAGATGTTTCAACAAATGATTCAAACACAACAAAACCAAATTAAAATGATGCTGGTTGATACTTAGGCTGCAAATCAAATCTCCACTAATGAGCCCATCTTCAAAGAGAACTAGCAGCATTGCGGAGAGTCTGGACAATCCTTTGGGACACCCTGCTGCTAGGACTGAGTGAAGAACAAAAGCGGGCACACTAAGAGTTGTCAGAGTCCCCATAGTCCCAGGGTAACAGTAATTGTTCTTTAGTCATAGGAATGAGAAGCTACCAGAACTGGTTTTAAACTCATTTAGTCAACAACTTGCTTTATTGAACATGCTTTAGAACCAGTGACAACCCTTGCTCCTGAAGCAGTCAATGAGGAATGAATCCAGTCCACTAAATACACTTCTGGGGACAGCCAAACAGCTGTCATCATATCCAAGTAACCATTCTACAGATGACACCAACCCCTTCACGCTTTTGAACAACCATCTGCCTACCCCTGAACCCCACATTTCCCTAAACCCTGTGAGATCAGTAGTTTGCTTGGTTGTTGAGATTCTGTGTGAGCCCAGCCTAGCTCCCCTACAATAATAAGCAACACATTCAAATTTGTCCTTTTATTTTAGATAGTGAATGATGGTCTCATCATCCTTTGACATCCTTTAATCATCCCTATTAATAAATGCAAAAATCTTTAGGGATTT